GACTAGTATTTTCTGGGGTATAAATATCATCAGCCGGGTTGGTAACTACATTGCTAATATTAAGTTCGGGCAGTAAAGTAAAAACGTTGGTAGGCATAATGTTCGTCGTTGGAGCGACTTTGTCTGTGTCCGCAGGGCGCCCGGCTTTGGCCGCAAGCGGGGCCCCTTTAAAAACCCTTCTCGCGAAGGACGGCTGCAAGAGCCTGCAGGTCGTCCTGCGAGTAGTCCTCGGTCTTGATCGACCGGATATTGAATTTCCGCTTGGGAGGCTCTGGGCACTCCCGCTTCATGTGGCCCTCCTTGCCACAGTTATAACACTTAAAAACGCGGGGTGTCTGCCGCGCGCGGTCCACATCCATCGGGGCGGTCTCGCCCGGCCCGATCTTCTTCGCGAGGTTGGGCGCCGGCCCGAACCCCGGTGATGACTTGGCAGCCGGCGCTTGTACACGCGCCGGGGTCCAGAACATCCGGCTCTGTTGAGCCGCTCGGAGTTTCCCCCGCTCCATGACCCGGCTGATCGCCGTCAGCCTCTTCTTGAGTCCCGCGTAATCCTCCGGGACCTCAATTCCACCCGCATACAGCTGGGTGCGCACCGCCTCCTCGACGAGGCCTTCTAGTGTTTCCACTAGGAAGGTGTTGTGGGGGGTGTCCTTGTCGTTGGGGGCATACCCCGCTTCTTCAGCGTTCAACTCGAACGCCTGGATAAAGTCGGCCAGGGGAGTCTTTCCCTGCCGAGTTGTCGTAAGGCGCATGTGCGCCGTCTGTTTGACGTTCTTGTCCTGGAACGTCCCTTCCAACTCCGAGATCAAATCATCGAAGTGGTAGAGGCTATCAAGCCCCTCGCGCAATGTGCGCTTTCGCCAATTACGTACCCAGTTTGTGGCTGGGCATGAGGCACCATCGGTCCGACCCAATAACGAGAGGGTGAACGCGATTTTCTTCTTCTCGGAGTCAAACTCCGAATCGTACGCCCATAGGTAATTAAGGAGGGCGTCGAGGAAAGTTTCCCACTTGCTCTTGTCAGAGCCGTCGAAAGTGGGGGGGAGGCGGGCGAGGGTGATCCGAGAGGACCTAGTCTCTCTCGGGGCGGGGTCGAGGTCCATAGCGGGCATATAAGAGGTGGTGCCCTGGTTCTGGTCTTCGTCGGCCATTGGTAATATGAGCGACGGGCGAGGTGGTTGGTAAGGTGGTTGGGCGAGAGCGGCGTAAAGTCGGTCGAACGGGGTGAAGGTAGGAAGTTCGGCAGAGCGGTATAAGGAGGTCGACGGGGATGAGGTTCCCGACGAAGAGGAGGTGGATGGGGCGCGGAAGGTCACTGTGTTGGTACGAATCCGCACTCAGCGGTTGGTGGAATCGCAACGGTCTCTTGCGACAGAACTACCCCGGGTCTTCTACAACACCCCCGGCGATAGCGAGGCAGTCTTCCCCAAAGGTCCGGCTGGCACTCCTGCGACTGCTATGTGGCTTGGGACGGACTCAACGTTTCCCGTGGCCTAGCGTCTGTCTGTTCGGTAAACCGAAAACGACTGGTGCTGCACTTGTTTAGACTCGCTGTGGACGAGGTAGGGAATCGGCGGGTGGGGAATAGGGAAAATGGAACTTCAAATACGAGAGTCCAAGTAGCGGTACGAATCCAAGTAGTGGAAAAGGGTGGGGGGAAAAGGAAAGGAGGTCGGAGGGTAGGGGCGGTACGAAGGTATGAAGGGTAGTCTTTTATTATGTCACGCTCAAGGCTCAAATACTAGTCTGAGAGGTCGCACGTTGCGTTCTCAGATGTAGCAGGTAGGAGTGAGGCTCGAAGTATGATGGAATAAAAGACTAAGGAATACAGGCAACTAGCTACACTACTTATACTGTTCAACTGTGGCTATGTAACTAGTGCTAATAATATATACAATAGAGCGTCCATGTGCTACAAGCACCATAACCATGTGTTCTGAGTAAGAAACGTCCTGAAGCCATGTGTTCTGAGTAATGCCCATGCATACTCCACATGTCCGCAGCATGACACCTGTCAGCTGTCCGATCACTAATCCGTCGTGCTTCATCGGCATGTTCCTGTGGGAACCCGATCCCTGGCTGTCCGATCACTGATGACTCCAGCATAGCCTTGGTGTTTAAATAGACGAGCGCTTGATTAGGCGCTTAGATAAGGCGTTGTCGCGATTAGATAGCGTCTAAATCGTGACAATCGGACGACTTGGCCTTGCCTTTACCCTGGTTACCGGAGCGTCCAGCGTTGTTACCGGAGGTTCTGGCAGTCGCAGCAGTAGAGGAGGGCACGAGAGCGTTGGAGGATTTGGAACTCTTGCCAGAGTTCCGATTGCCGGGTTTCGGTTTGCCGGATTGACCTCCAGTACTGGTCATCGATGATGCGAGCGACCAACTTCACTCCATCGAGGGTGTTGGCATAGTTATGGTGAACCATGTCGTCCTTGATCCGACAAGGAAGCTCTTCGTAAAACTGATACCGGAGGGCATTATCGCTAAGACTGAAAGGAAGTCGAACTCAATGATGTAAGTGGTGATCCAGTCGCCGGACTTCATCCAGCACGTGCGAATCTTGTCCTCGGCATCCCCAACCGGATCCTGCAGCCCGAAGTTAAGTGTAAGTTCCTGAATCAAGGCCGCCAAATTGCCGTCCCAAACCAGAATGATGGTCAGGTCGTAAAGGTTGGGGGAAAACCATTGCTGAGCGCTGCCCCAGAGGTACAAAATGATGTAGAGGATACAATCATTGTCGTCCAGACTCCAGAAAGTCTTGCAGGTGCTCCGCGAAGTGAAAATAGCACTGGATGAGGAAGGACGAAAGTTTACCCGGGTCCGATCCATTGAAGGTGTCCGGATTTCAGAGATTGGATCGGTTGGAACGAGGAGGAGGGTCCGTGGGACGAGCAGCGAACACGTTGAGAGCATCCCAGAAGGTCCGGAGGGTGTCCATAATTAAAGCATCACCAGCGTCAGGCGTCTGAGCTCGACGAGGTGCACGAGGTATACCAGGACCTCCGGGGCCACCTCCAGGTGGACTGCCAGGGGGGCCTCCAGGTGGACCGCCAGGGGGGCCTCCAGGTGGACCTCCTGGACCACCAGGACCACCGGGACCGCCGGGACGTCCGGGGCCACCTCCGGGTGGACCGCCAGGTGGGCCGGGCGGTGGACCAGCATCACTACCTCCGTCACCACCACCATTTCCACCTCCACCATCGCCATCATGGTCCTCATCCCCATTGTGCTGAGAAGGATGGGGGTCATGTTCAGAGCGGGGTAGATCCTCCAATAAGTGAAGGCTACCACGTTGACTCCCAGAATGAGTGGAGTGTTCCGGAGCCTGTCGGAGGCTGTCCAGAACCTCGACGATATGAGGACCAGGGATGGGAGATGCACTGCGGGAAAATACTGCAGCACGATGTGGATGGGGGGAGGTTGCATACCTGATAGGATTTTCCAGTGTCCGGGGGTTGAGAACTGACCCCGGAATGGTAGCCGGAGAGGGTACAGGTGGCGTGGGTGAACTCCAAGTGAATTGTGGAGCGTAGCGAAGAGTAGCGAAGAGTAGGCGATACCGGAATGGACAGGTACATCGATGGACCGAGAACTTGGACCAGAGTACTCATCGGAATGATCTGGCTGAACATACGGGATTCTTGGCAGGGTTCCTGATCAGTCCGACCAGTGCTGGAACGTTAGATCTGTTCTGTGTTGGGTAGGTTTGGATTAGGATTGCGAGACATTGCCAGTCAGAGTAGCGAGATTGATAATACTGTTATATACCGAGCCGGAGTGGACCAAAGGATGAAGGCCAAAGGACCGGAGGCTCCGGTATGCTGGAGCGTCGGAGGGCTGGAGGGTCCGGAATGTATATGAGGGGGGATCACAACACCACAGGGGGTTAAGGGTGAGTGACTACCCTGGCCGGCAGGTATCCGATAGAGGAAGACAAGTCGGAGCACCGGAGAGTACGGAGACGACTCAGTGCAAGGGAAGTGAGCCAAGCAACGTCAATTATCAATCTGACGTACAAGACATATTAAAGACGTATTTATACTAAGTAGCTAATTGTATTCCATAAAAGGAAGGAGGTGGTCCTTAACAATAAGACAAGTCAGATGGACTGATGAGAATTTGTATGACAATAAGACGGATAAATGGGAAACGCTCAGTAATCCTTCATTGCGTAAAAACCCAATGATACCGGATGGTCCGGAGGCACCGGTATACACCGGAGCCTATCGGAAGTACCAGAAGGTCGACGTGAGGGCTGGGGATGTTGCATGGATATAACAGAGGCGAATATCGAATATAGGTGGGGTATAAGTGTCTCCGCTGCGAGGAAACAGCGGTGGAGTGAGGCGGAAGGGAAGGAAAGGTGTCCCCTTCGATCTCGGTGACCTTAGGTTCTTTTCGTTGACTGTTCCCTTCCGTTCTAGAGCAGTTTTAAATGCCTAGATTGGAAGGGGAGAACTAGATGATGTTACTACAAGTACTATGCTGTATTTATACCCCAGCGGAGCCCAGTGCATTGCCTTCCCAGGAGTAATGTTGAGCCTCCGCTGACTCCGTTGTGCGTGAAACAGTTTAGCGGAGCCGGCGGAACCGACTCTTTGGTTGCCAGCAGACCCTTGTGGTGGTAATTTGACACAGCGTACCTGTGTCATACTTCTGCCAGCGGAATTCCCTTTTTTTCATGGTGGAACACAAGCCCTCCACGGAGTCGGACTCTCCTCGATGTTAACCTACAGTTATCAACCCGTTTAGGATATTGTGGTTCAGCCATCAGTTATATTTTCTCATTCAGGCAATTTCCGCTTAGCGGAATTGCCTTCTGATGGTCCTGTATTCTTCAATGGTGTGGGGTTCAAGATTCCACCGCCGTAAATCCTGTTGGTCATTTGTTATTACTGGATGGGATTCCGCCATGCGTTCCCTCGAGGCGGAATTGATCCATGTACGCATGGTTTTTAGTCAACGGGGATTTATAATTTGACGGCCGTCTCTGTATTGGTTCCATAGCGTAAGGGTTAACGCGCCGCGAATGCCTGTTGAGACCAAGGATTTTCAGCGGAGACTCCGGATTCGATTCCTGGCGGGGCCGTCTGTCTTGAACGATTCAGTTTTTATTTTTCCAACACGACTCATTTCCCACTGCAACCTTGGTGGTTGTTTCTTGTTCAGTGTTGACGGGAGGACCTTTGAAGTGGTGGGATGCATTTTCCGAGCCGTGGAAGCTGTTCCATAAGCGGCGGAAGTCAACAGAACATGTTCTTTGAGCGGCAGAAGGGCATCCTAACAGTGTTTCCATGCTTTTATTGTTGACGGAATGTGTTTTCCAAGCAGCGGAAGCTGAATTGCGACCTAACAGTGTTTCCATGCTTTCATCGTTGACGGAATGTGTTTTCCAAGTGGTGGAAGGGCTGAATTCGACCTTTATGCCCATCGGCACCGTAGCATAGGTGTTGCATCGCGGATTACTTCACGCACAACAAATTGTTATCGCGGCTGACCCGGGTTCGACTCCCGGCGGTGCCATCCGTTTTCTTTAACGTTCTGAGTATGCTCGTTGGAAATATTGTCCTTTCCGCTAGTTGTTTCTGTTGTCATGAGGAATATTACAAGTTTCCGGAGTCAGCGCGTGGAGCCGGCTCACATCATATATAAAGCCTAGCAGATCCCGTGATTCAGTACTGCATCTCCCACCAAGGTAACGGTGTTGGTGCTGGTCTGAGCCTAGCGCGGAGATACGTTATATAACTATATTTGTTGTTATTGTTCAAATATAAAGTGCTCTTGTTGACATATATAAGCTTTAAAGGACTTAAGCCGTGTTCGTGGAGAGTCGCGACATTTGTGTGAAAGGCACCTGTTTGGTTGTTACCTCAGGTCTGCTGTTGGCACTGTTCCAGTGAGTTCAGTTGCAGTACCCGGTCGTTGGCATCCGTTCCAGTGAGTTCGGTCGTGATCCAAAGTATAGATCCAGTGTGGTCTCTGTCAGAGTACGGCAGGAAACCCTATCTAAGTCTAGAGAGACTTGTAGGTCTTTGAGATATCTTTCGAGGTGTCTAGAAGTATAAAACATATAAAAACCCATATCGCTTCAGTCGAAGTAGATAATCCCTGGTCAATCTTTGACTACTTTGTGCTCATATTAGTCCTAATAAGACTTCTATCGAGTTGGCATTTTCAAGACACGAACCTGAGAAGTTCAATCTTACCTGTAAACTGCAGGACAACCCGAACTCAATTGTGTGTGTGTGTGTGTTGGTTAGTTGCCATCTAGCAGCTTTCTGATTATCTTCGCGAACATCAGTGTACCCATAGCCACAGTTTCAGCGGATGATGACGAATACGACAACAAGGGTTCTGATGACGACGGGGGAGTGACAGAGGGAGAGGAGATGATGGAAGGAGATGAAGAAGGGTCAGTGGGTGGGTCGGATGGTGAGGAGGTGGATTAGTTTTTTGTTTTTTGTTTTCTTGCAGCATTCCCATTTGTTTTTTGGAGATCTCTTGGTTTTTCTGTATGTTTTTCAGGGTAGGATAAATGGGATGGGTCGGAGCACGAGCGGATTTTTTCCCCTTTTTTCCGGTATGTCTGGGATTTTTTTACATTTGTTTTGTGCTGCTCAGAAATCACCGCCGCCTTTCTATTTGAGACTCCACTGTGCCGTGAGCCCCGAACGGCGGCCCAGTGCAAGCAATCGTTGCCGCAAATGCCGCCGCAGCCGCCTTATTGATACTTTCCCATGCCCTAGATTCTCGGCAATCTTTGCAAAACGGACACTGAGTCCTCCCGGGACCTTTTGTATATGGACTACAACTTGAGCTGACAGCTGGTACCTAGACCCTGATGCGGACCTTGCAAGCCTTCCAGCCGTCACAAATCAGCGGGATATACATCCAGAGCATCTGTGGCTTGAGCTACGCCCCATCCCTCCTCCCCCCATCCTTGATGTCAAACCATCCAAACACATTCCCCGACATGTCCAAACCAGTACTGAAACCCTCCCAGCACGGGAGGTATTTCATGAAATACAGACTGCAATATGCCTGCTTATGACTCATGTTGAGACCAGAGAGCAGGTTGACGACTTGCTGCGTAACCTTGACCAGATCCGGTACGTGTTATGAATGCCCAGGGATTTCTAGTACTCACTAGGTCCACTCCAGACACCAAACAAGTGAACAGAAGCCTCACGAGACTATTCATGATCCAGAGATCATTCGGCACAAAGGCCGACCTCGTACACAGCGTCTCACAGGTGCTTTGGAGGGTAGACCAGTTGGTGGTGGAGGGCAGGCATCCAAGCGACACCGAGCTGACAGGGAGAAGGAAAATGCAGTGGATGAGTCGGGCTCAGAAAGCCCGGAACCCCCACGCAAGAAGGCCAAGCGTCGGTGTGCTCTGTGCCACAAAGAGGGTCATAATCATACAACTTGCTAGTCTCTCCAGACAGACACTGTAATGATACCAGCTCGTTCCTCACCCATTACAGTCTGTTAGTTACCACGGTCCATCTTATTATGTAATGATGGGAGATGCACAACCAAACACTCATTTATTTCACATGTCTTTGTGTTATTCAACGTGAATTTGGCCCTTATCAGCTAATGGAGGAGTCCAGAGCATCTTAAGAATCTTCTGACTCACTCACTTTTTTCCCCCGAATGAGTATGAGGTCAGACTCTCCATTCGACCGAATTGGGTGATGAAAGCCCCTAAAAGTGGTGAGGTGCTTCATCGAGTTTGTGTGCTCGCAATAGCGATCCCAGAAATATTAAAATGGATATGTTAGGTGAACCAAACTGTTTAATGTGTAGTATCATCCTCTGCATTGCCTCTGACATGTGAAGTCGCATCCAGTGGGCATACACGTGATTTACCAATCCAGTGATTATATAACAAGGTGGACCGCCTACAGTGATGGCATGGTAACCACAAGACTAACAACTTGCCCGCCAGTAATACCTAGACTCGTAGCGTAGCTTCAGTGTAGCAACGTAGCGTCTGAATTTCTTGATGAGCAGAGGCTGTGATTTGTGGTGCTGAAGCAATAGGAATAAACACAGACAACTTCCGGCGTCCCGGGCACCTCGACACCCCGGTTTTCTCAATAAAAACTATTCTTAGATGGAGAGTTTCTGTCCGCAACTGGGGTTTCTCAATAGAATTATCCATGATTCTTTGGCTGAATTCCACTGAGATTGAGACAAAATCAAACATTAATGAGCGGAAAATTCGGTGCATAAATAGATGATTGCTAATTCCAGCTTGATTCCAGCCTTACAAAATGTTCGCTCCCGCTCACCTCCACTTGAAAAAAAAAATCAGATTTTTTCTGATGCCTGTAAACATGTTTTTAGTAGGTTCTAAGCAAATTCTGAAAAGTGAATTAAGAGGGTCTGAGACCCTACCTACCTAGGAGGCTGTGTCTCGGCATCTTCCGGTAGGTACCCCTTGTTTGCGCGCATATAGTCTCCTCTGCACGCACCAGCTGCATATAAATAGAGCATATTTGCAGCCCCCAAAATGACCGTTTGATCCCAAAAGTGATGGCTGATCACTTAGAAATGATGAGACCGAAATAGAAACAGTGACCAAGGAAATTCGCTGGAAAATCAATATGTACCCAGTTTTTTGGGGGGTTGAGCATAGGAAACGTTGTGATTCGGACTGCGGTGCTACTGCTGGCAAGTCGGTTTGTTGCTTGGCAGACTCAGCAGTTCATCCTCTAGGAGGAAGTTTGTGTGTCTGAAGTCTCTCGATGGCAGTGGAATTCGTGTTTTATAAATGTGGTGGTGTACAAGCTACTCTGTCTCGCAACAGAGGAATCCTAAGGTCACTGATTTTTTCCCTGTGGGAGAGAAAAGCCTTCCAGTAACGCTGCTTTTCTGTTCTACACTCAAGAACAAGAGAGGTCGGCCCCAATGCGATGCAGAGGGAAGTGATGGCGCTAGTCTGGGGTATGTTGGTCCTGTTTTTAAGTCTCGGCCGTCGTAATTCCTGACTTCAGAGTGTTACCAAACACAAATGTAGGGTGGGTCCATTGTGATTGCCGCTATTCCAATCCTCTCTGCTTCGTTCCTTTCTTCTGCCTCTACGGAGAATTCCCTTTTTCCATCAAAGAGTCCGCTCCTTTGAAAGTTCTTGAATAGTGTGCCGTCGTTCTCCTGCTCTACTGTAGGACCAGGTGTCCCGACGGGGTTTTAATGGCTACACACAAATACGATGGAGTCGTCTGCAGCGTCGTTCGTAGTGGGAGTTCTGTTCTGCTTGGGCCTATGCAGTGACAGAGGAGGCGAATATCAAATATGGGTGGGGTATAAGTGTCTCCACTGCGAGAAAACGGCGGCAGAGTGAGGCGGAAGGGAAGGAAAGGTGTTCCTTTCGGTCTCGGTGACCTTAGGTTCTTTGTGTTGACTGTTCCCTTCCATTCTAGAGCAGTTTTAAATGCCTAGATTGCAAGGGGAGAACTAGATGTTGTTACTGAAATGTCTATGCCCTATTTATACCCTAGCGGAGCCCATACACAGCCTGCCCGGAGTATTGTTAGCTCTCCACCATCATTCCTCTCCATGTGGTGGGTCTCTGCCCACCTTGCGGACTCCGCTTTCCCAATTTCTACGGGGCCTTGAGACGCACGTTCTCGCATGCCTGTCATAGTCCTTCGCTCGTGGGCGGAGGGAAGAAAATCCTCGGCGGAGTGCATTTTTCCCACTCTGCCTCTCCTGATTTGTCCCATTTTGGATATTGTTGTTGACCATCACGTATCGCATCTGGTTTGGGAAGTTTGTGCTTTCAAAAAATAACAGTGGTTTGGTGTTTCTTCCTTGAAGCAAGCAAGGGCTCCACCGTACTAGGTCATATGGATGATGAGGCGGAGTCCCGAAGTAACGGTACTTGTGTGCCTGACCGCATTGTTTCCATTCAACGGGGAGGGAGCTCTTATCCAACAAGAGCCACGGAGCGGTGTCCATGGTGATGAGTTCCTTCGGGCGGAAGCCCTTCCCGGTGGATTCGGACAGCGGACCCACGCTAATTCTGCGTTTTCCAGGTGATTCTTCTGGCAGAGCGTGCGTATTCATTCCTTTACAGCT